ACTGTAGTGTAATTACTTTAAACATTTATAGAGGTGGTCACACTTGCTGACGATCAGTTAATAGTGCTCTCTTAATTTCTATGAGAGCAGTAAGGGTATAGTTGGCTTTTCACTGGACTGCTTCTGCATTTTGGCCTAATTTTTCCTAAATAAATAACTATACAGTGTAATATGCCATGTTTGTAGTTCATCTCTAACATAATTTTAAGAACTGCTATGAATCTTAAAAGAAAGTTATTTTTCATGACATTAGATTCCCCAGAAAATGTAGGAAACAAACAGTCAAGAAAAACATGAACAAAATCAAGATTTTATTCAAAATTTTAAATTAAAATAATGTTATGCCAATATTTTTAAAACAACAGAAAAACCTGGGCAAAAGCCCATGATGCTGGCCTACGAAAGTGCACTACTACACAGGATATTAACTTGTCCTGTATTTTAAAAATCATCCTTTAATTTTTAAAACAGCTACCTAAAAGAGAGAAATCCCCCTGAATTTAAAAGAGTCAGGTGGAAAGGTCAGGAATAGTGGTCAAACTGCTAACCAAACTAATAAAAACATTAAGAATATATATATATGTGTGTGAATACAGGGAGTGCAGAATTATTAGGCAAATGAGTATTTTGTCCACATCATCCTCTTCATGCATGTTGTCTTACTCCAAGCTGTATAGGCTCGAAAGCCTCCTACCAGTTTAAGCATATTAGGTGATGTGCATCTCTGTAATGAGAAGGGGTGTGGTCTAATGACATCAACACCCTATATCAGGTGTGCATAATTATTAGGCAACGTCCTTTCCTTTGGCAAAATGGGTCAAAAGAAGGACTTGACAGGCTCAGAAAAGTCAAGAATAGTGAGATATCTTGCAGAGGGATGCAGCAGTCTCAAAATTGCAAATCTTCTGAAGCGTGATCATCGAACAATCAAGCGTTTCATTCAAAATAGTCAACAGGGTCGCAAGAAGCGTGTGGAAAAACCAAGGCGCCAAATAACTGCCCATGAACTGAGAAAAGTCAAGCGTGCAGCTGCCAAGATGCCACTTGCCACCAGTTTGGCCATATTTCAGAGCTGCAACATCACTGGAGTGCCCAAAAGCACAAGGTGTGCAATACTCAGAGACATGGCCAAGGTAAGAAAGGCTGAAAGACGACCACCACTGAACAAGACACACAAGCTGAAACGTCAAGACTGGGCCAAGAAATATCTCAAGACTGATTTTTCTAAGGTTTTATGGACTGATGAAATGAGAGTGAGTCTTGATGGGCCAGATGGATGGGCCCGTGGCTGGATTGGTAAAGGGCAGAGAGCTCCAGTCCCACTCAGACGCCAGCAAGGTGGAGGTGGAGTACTGGTTTGGGCTGGTATCATCAAAGATGAGCTTGTGGGGCCTTTTCGGGTTGAGGATGGAGTCAAGCTCAACTCCCAGTCCTACTGCCAGTTTCTGGAAGACACCTTCTTCAAGCAGTGGTACAGGAAGAAGTCTGCATCCTTCAAGAAAAACATGATTTTCATGCAGGACAATGCTCCATCACACGCGTCCAAGTACTCCACAGCGTGGCTGGCAAGAAAGGGTATAAAAGAAGAAAAACTAATGACATGGCCTCCTTGTTCACCTGATCTGAACCCCATTGAGAACCTGTGGTCCATCATCAAATGTGAGATTTACAAGGAGGGAAAACAGTACACCTCTCTGAACAGTGTCTGGGAGGCTGTGGTTGCTGCTGCACGCAATGTTGATGGTGAACAGATCAAAACACTGACAGAATCCATGGATGGCAGGCTTTTGAGTGTCCTTGTAAAGAAAGGTGGCTATATTGGTCGCTGATTTGTTTTTGTTTTGTTTTTGAATGTCAGAAATGTATATTTGTGAATGTGGTAAAAATAAATAATTGAAATGGGTATATATTTGTTTTTTGTTAAGTTGCCTAATAATTATGCACAGTAATAGTCACCTGCACACAGAGATATCCCCCTAAAATAGCTAAAACTAAAAACTACTTCCAAAAACATTCAGCTTTGATATTAATGAGTTCTTTGGGTTCATTGAGAACATGGTTGTTGTTCAATAATAAAATTATTCCTCAAAAATTCAACTTGCCTAATAATTCTGCACTCCCTGTATATATATGTGTGTGTGTGTGTGTGTGTATATATGTATGTATATGTGTATGTATGTATATATGTATATATATATATACACACACACACACATCCATCTACAAGTGGAAATCTCAGTTCTCACATATAACAGACACACAGAATGACAGAAGAATAGAGATCCTTATTTTAGATATACAATATACAAAATAAATATACAAAAAGAGTTCCCATCCACATCAATACAAATGTTTGTTTTGTTTTTTTTAAAAACTTAGACGGTTGTAGCAACTCTGGTAGGTGGAGGAGGGATAAATGCAGGCAGAGACACTGATTTTTCAGAGAGAGTCTAAAAGAAAAAAGAGAAAACCCTTATTTTCTGTGATAAATGGAAACAGTTACCCACTACATCTATTTATTTGTTATAGTAAGACTACCTTCTGTAACCTGTTGTAGTCAGGGGGGGACCTCAACACTCCTTTCAGCATGTTATTCGCAGTGATATTTGGTTGGCTGTTTTTTACCTGTGGAGGACATGACATGCACAAAATGTAATCATCAAATATAACAACGATTCATTGTGCAATGTGAATTTTTTTTTTTAAATAAACCAGGCTTCAACACAAATGCAATATGAGTACAGTGGGATAAATGTAAGTAGTTAAATGTAACTAGCAGTAAAACTATCCAGATAAATTCCTGCACATTAATTATGCTGTCTAGTGTATTTCAAACCTTATCAACTGCTCTGGGAACTGGATATCTTGGCTGATGACCTATGAAAAGCAAACATAAAAGTCCAAAGAAAAGCATCACAGTAAGTAAAGTAAATAAGTAAGTGTAAATGTGATTTATATTTAGTATTTAAATTCACCTACTTTTGTTCCTGATGCAGTAGACACCAAGGTAGATGAGGCCAGTCAGCAAAAGAAGGAACAGAAGGCTGCAGGGGATGCCTGCTGCAATGCCAGCAATAGCAGGACCACTCAGTCCTTCACCTGCCATCAACACGACAGACTGTAACCAAAAATGTTACTACTGTAGGCTCATCACTAACAATGAGATAAGAGCTGTTTCACACAGACAGCTGTGCTATACCTGGACCAATTCGTTGGCTCTTAGATGGCTCTCCATTGGTCATACGAGCTTTGGGGATGACTTGAAACCAGTAGGTCAGCTTGGGATCAAGGAAAAAGATATCCGTACTCCTGGCAGAACCAGGTTTCTGCTGGATTGTGCGATATACATTTGAGCTGCTTTTAGTCAGAGGGGCATTGCGATTTTTGCTCAGAAGGTCTGGTCCTTTCATCTGGATGTCGAACCCTTAACAAAATCACACACAATTCTGTTTTGTAGCATCACAATTCACAGAGGAAACCAGTTAATTCTAGCAGATCTCTCAAGATTTCAGTGATCAATGTTAGAGCTTACTGAAACGGATAATTGTATATACATAAACTAGCCGATACTAGCCATAACCAAAACTGGCATTTGATTTTCCTAGTAGTTTCATCTTTAAAATATTTTGCCCAAAACACAGCTCCATGTAGATGGTAGTTTCACAGACAACACATTATTTACACCCCTATCTTCTATTTTGAGTTTCTGTTTTCACACTAGCAGTATTCATTCACATGGGTTATGGAATATCAAAACAAGAAGGGTGAGTCTCTGTGTTTTTTCTTTAGAGATAATCTTGTGAAGATAAGTCAAACTAGCACATTTAAGACCTTCCCTTAATTTTAGTACCTGTAACAACAGACATAGATGGGACCTCCCAGGTCAACGTGACGATGGTTCCGTTTCGGTTAGGGAACAAACTGGAATCTGAGATGGATGGTCCTGGAAAGAGAGAGGGATTGTGAGAGTAGGGGAGATCAAGGAAGGGCAGAAGAAGGGGGGAGGCGAGGGTACACCAAAACTGAAGAGCTTTGTCTGAAAGGAAATTGCATTCTCAGGTATTACTTAGCTCTGTTTCTGAGGGCCCATTGTGCCTTTGTTTCAAGCAATGCGAGCAGTACTCCAAAGCAGCAGAATCCTTACATTTTAATGGCAAATATTTAACTTTAGAGTCGACACAAAAATGTCAAAATATGTTTAAATATTTTATTTTTAAGTGGATCTGCAAATAACAATTACTTTGATACCACTTTCTCAACTTTGATTTGAAAGCTCAAACTGCTTTCTAAACATTACTGCCTCAGAACTGAGAAAACAAGAAACTGTTGGTTATTTTTGTTAGTTATTTTAATTATAAAACCAGCTGAAGATTTATGTCCTCACAATTTCACTCATCTGACTAATGTTTCCTTTACTGTTTTACATAGGTTTTTCTGAATACAATTTTATACTTTTATCTACCCCTAGTAGATGTGAATGTCGACTATTACTTTTAGTTGCCAGTGTTATTACATAGTCAGACAGGTACATTTAAAGATCTGAGTAATCAACCCTTTTTTTAACAATTTATTTTAACTAGTAACTTCCATCACCTGTTAAACATGGTACTGTAAAAAATATATTTCTCTATTAAATTAAATTGAACAAGTGAGTTATACCTTGTAGCTGAATTTCTCTTTTCTTGCTGCCCAGAGGGTTCCTGCATGTGCAGGTGTAGTTTTGGAGAAGAAAGTTGCTGACATTGTAATGACGAATCATAAGCTGTGAGGTGTTGCTGCTGATCTGGTATGTGGACCCGTTGGTGACAGTCTCATTGCTACTGAACCATGACACAACAGCTTTAGGCGATGCCTCACTGAAACAGCGGACTGTCACCACTATTTTGCCCCCAGAGTCAACTGTGGTTCTCATAATTGGAAGGAATGCTACAGGACCACCTGGAGAACACAAGGTGCCTGTTTAGACTCGACTGCCAAAGTCAATAAAACACATTATGCATACATTATGTGGATTTGTTATGAGTTAAAAATTTAAAACTTGCTTGCAGTGATATTGCACTTATTATGTTCAACCGGGTGTTCTGCCATGCACTGGATTGTTTTCCCATTTAGATTATCTGATGCATTGACGGTTAAGCTGAAGTTCCCTGCTCCACTGCTGGAGTTGCTTAGCTCTGGAAAAGACAGCTGGGCCTGTGGGGTTCCCCCTACCCATTCACAGTGATACTGCAGGTTGATGGCATTCACTGACTGCACCGAGCACTCAGGATTGCCCACTGGCCGCTCTGTCCCAAGATAAAATGAATCTGTTATTAATGTCTGGGTACACGTTTAAATATTTTATTTAGAAATGAAAAATTTCTAAATAAATTCTAAATATAAACAGCATTAGATGAGCACTATGTTCTATGTACAGCAAACCATGACAAACTAAACTATAATTTTCAATCCAAATTGAGAACAATTTCACAAAAACATGACCTAAAAGATAAAATGTCTACTTTTCCACATACCATAAACAGTTAAGGTCATGTTCTTTTGGCGGCTTTCTTTTGTATCTTCATTGACCAGCCTGCATGTGTAAACACCTCCTTGACTGGTTTGTACATTTGTTAGATTCAGGACTCCTTTTAGGGAAATGATATTCCCACCAAAGACCCACTCAGAGATTGGCTGTGGGAATCCATTAGCCTGACAGGAGAGGTTCAAAGAGTCTCCTGCTAAATAAAAAGTCTGAAGTGGATGGGCCTCAAGTGTAGGCTCATCAGGTCCATCTATAACACACCATAGAGCGTTATAAGAAAACAGGGATATAAATAAAGAAACTTATACGTATATAAATAAAGAAGACTTTAAAACTGTAAAACTTTTAAACTGTTAAACTTACACTGCACAGAGACATTTTGAGATGCCGTTGCATTTCTGAAGGGGTTTGTCAGTAACACAGCGTACTCTCCTGTGTCATTTCGGTTTGGCCTGAGGATCACAAGACTATTTGCCTGTGTCTTCACTAAATAGTGTGAGCTGTTTTTTATTTCAATGCCATTGAAGAACCACATTTGTTGCTCAAACACTCCTTGGAGCATGCTATGCTGCAGGGTGAAGTTCTCAGTTCCCTCTTTGATAAGACCCGGCTGTGAGCTCAGAGTCAAGCTCTGGATGTATTCTGTAAATAAAAACATGAAAGGAAAGAAGAACCACTAGATGAATATATCTACTCTAGTGTACTGCCTTTCCTTTCTAATGCATCAGCCTTATTAAGACGGCAGGTACATATAAAAGATAAACTGCATAACTTCTCAAATGTCAGATTTCATTTTTTAATTTTCATTTATGGTTTGTCTCAAATATTTAAACAGTTGTTTAATATTTAAAGAGTTATATTTAACATTTTATCTAAGCCATCAACAACAGCACGTCTTCCAGCCAGATATGCCCACTCACCAAATATTTTAAGAGTGAAAGTAGTTGAGGCTTTACTCATTCCAGATTTAACCATTTCGATGGTGTAGTCACTGGTGTAGTTAAGTGGAACATTAAGAAAGGTGAGATTTGCACTTTGTTTGTCTATCCTGATTACACTACTGAAAGTTGCAGCTACAGGTGGATCAGCACTGGAGTTTATAGTCCATGTAGCAATATTTAAAACCCCCTTAAACCAACTAACAACTGGGTCAGTGGCACCACTGAAGGACACAGCCAGAGTCACGTTTTCGCCAGCTAAAGCATTCACCAGACTGGGACCAGCAGGAGAAACCAGCAGTTCACAGCGGGCACCTGTGAGGATGTAGCCAAGTAACTGAATTAGAAACGAAATTGCAAGGTCACGCAATAAGTCTGCTAACATCAAAATAATGCCAATTAAACAGAATTACTGTCGTTTAATCTTACAATCAGGAACAATGCTGTCGTTACAGAAACGCACAACAAAGCCCTCTTTTTCTAACCCTAAAAATGACACAAAAATTTCTAATACTAACAAACAAAATCACACAGATAAGTGTCATAAGGCGTAACTACGCTTTATTCTCACCTTGGAAAGTAAAAAATGATAAAATGGCCAGAAACAACGAGCTTAATCTCTTGAATTCCTTTACACAAGGCATTTTTTGTAAAACTTTAAGCACGCTTGTTATTAGAAGCAACCGTTTGCATTTCCAGTATAAAAGCAGAGACGAAAAACAAAAACGTCTTGTAAAGTCCTAAAGCGCTAACTTCTGTATCAGCGGAAGCTCCAGCGGACAGCCAGGCGCGTGAGTATCCCACCTGTACCAACTCGGATTGTGCATGTGAGGCCACGCCCCTTACGTAATTACACACAACAGCCCCTTTATTTGTATCTGCTTGCTGATAAAATAACATATCAACATTTCCTTAATACAACTGGTATAAATATACCATGTATATTAACTAAAGAAGAGGTGGAGAGAACGTTTAAGTAACAACTTTACCTGCGTCACCATAGTTCCGGTACCCTCATCTTAGCAGTCAATGACGTATGCTAATATGGGAAAGTCAAGAGGCCTGCCTGTCCATGCCCATGTTCATACAGTACCCAGTTTTCAATCACATACCTATGTGCTAAAAAACACCAGGCTTTTTGTATGGAGACCAAAACATAAAAAAGGTGACATTTGTAGTTTGGAATAAATCAATCAATTGAGTATATCAAAACAATAAATCTGTAATAAAGTACTACAATAACTAGGTTATATTTTGAAATTGTGCTGTAAAGTGTAAAAAAACCAAAAGAAAACACATTTTCAAGGTTTATTTGCAGGTTACTTTTACAATTTCTCAGTTTATTCTTATTTTTGTAAAGGAGGAGGCAGTTTTTGCTGTTTTATTCTAAGCAAACAATGTTGGAACGTCTTCTGAAACCTGGATTCCATTTTTCTTTTCACAGGTGCTCTAATAATACATTACAGATTAAAGACACATGACCTAAGAATCACACTTTTACTAGTCTTAAAAACACAAAAAACAACAAAAAAAACCAAAACAAGTATTAGGACCACACTTAAGATTAAACTCGAAACACTAGTTTGAGATTAAACCTGTTGTTTTAAGTCAAAAACCTACACAGGTACTATACCACTATACCCTTTACAAAATGCCTTTTGTAGACAGGTTAGAGGAGAAAAAATAAATAAATAAAAATTAAAAAAAAAAAAAAGAAGAAGAAAGAAAAAAAAAAATCATACTTAGGAATCAGTTTTGGTAACTTGAAAATTATTTGTCTTTTACCACATAAATACAATATGGTGGTAAATAAGGCACGATAAGAGATCTGAGCAACACATTTTGGACTATAACTAGTAAAACAGTATTTAGGCATTAATATTTAGCATTTCAAGTTTAATCTCAAAATTTCAAAACGAACAATATTTTTTGTGTCACTAATACTCTGCGTACAAAATGAACATCAGAATTTTAAAAAAAAAACAAAAAAACTGCTGCCATTTCACAGGTTTTAAAAAATGCCTTGCAGACTAAATTTAAAGGATAAAATGAAACTACTGTAAACTCAAAGGAAACGCCAAGAGACCAGACACAGCTGTAGATATGAAAAAGACTGGCTGCTTTATTGTTATTGTGATGTTCTGTACAATCAAAAGAGAACTTAGGCGCTTACGGTAAAATTCCAATTTAGGATCACGTTCCCCTGCTCATACTGAGAGACACCGTCTAGTCAATCCTTGAACTCAGTCACAGTAGTCAAGATATTAATGCTAGCAGACATCTTCAAATCAACATGTTGGGTGGTTCTGTATTTACATACGTCATTTACAAAAATTGCACCTCTTAACATGTCTGACTACAGATATACAAGAATTAACAGATGAGGATGAAGCAGCTGAAATGCATCAAACTGGTGAAGTTTGGGTACAGTTCAATACAAACAGCAACATGAGTGATGGGAAGATTCTGGGTTTAAATTACTGCATAAACACCGCTTTTTATAGCATTGTGATATAATGAAACAAATGAACTACTCTGCAAGTTCAAATGCATACACAAGACAAGATGATTCTTTTGGGCTTGTCTGACTGCAGGACAGTGTGTCTCAATATTTTTCCACTTCTATCAGTACCTCCCTGCATATCCTCAGGAGCCACAGTTTCAAACAGAGGGATTAGACCAACACATAAGCTTGTCCTGTGGTTGGGCTTATGTAGTTCAGTCTCGTTATTCATTAGAGAGTCCTGCAAGGAGAGAAAATAACATAGATAAGTAATTCAAGACAAGAGTAGCAATTAGCATCTTTAATTACTTTTTCTTTAATAGCCACAAGACACACAATATCATTTGCCATAACAAAATAAATGTGACTTTTTTCCCCCTCAAAATGAGATGAGATTGTTATAAAAAAGGATAATAATGCTCTACACAAACAATTCTATCATTCATCACAAGAGTTAATTTTACTGCACTCTTAAAAAGTTGTAATCAAGAGGTAGATATAGGTCTATTGTGGATAATTAATTTGTGGTATGCAATTTTCTTTTACAAATTCATTAATGATGCATTGTTCCTTTTCCCAGAATACCTTAAAATTAAAAATACTCTATTAATCTCTTTTTGTAAAAAAAAGGCCTGTTATAATTACTTGATATAATAAAAAATGCATACCTTTTTTCAAACAAATATAGTTTAGAGTTTGCACAGAAATATAATTGTGGGATTTTTAAGATATAGATACAGGTGGAAAGGTCATAAATGCATGAAACCTATTAATACTACGTAATACATGGGATCGCCAGCCGAGAAGATCTAGCATACGTTGCTGAGGCACACTGGCAAGGGGAAAGAAAATGAAAATAGCAGGTGAGCTAGAAGGTGCTTAGTCATGCCAGAGAAAATGCCCCTGATGTCTTTAAAAATGTAACTTTTTGCTCAACTTTCTGATGAAAACTATTAATTCACTGATACTCACCTCTGTTAGGTTCTGCACTCCCAGCTTATATGCTTAAGCCTCTATACCCTCCCTGCCTCTTTCAGTTTGACCACTAGGTCTTCCACTGTCTCCACCTTCATCCCTGCCTGCCTCTGTGGAGGCTCCTCCACTTTCAACACCTCCAACCGTGAAGTCACGTCCACCCCCAAGTCTGCAGGCTTCACAGTAACAATCTTCTTCTTCTTGGCTTTCTGAAACAAGTTATGCACAAAGGGTGAATAAAATAATTACTCCTCTTTTTAACTACTTTATAGCAGGTTAGGTCTTAAAGGTAAACCCAGCAATTACAGTCAGAACCCGTCTCTAATCTTGTCCCAGAAATCAGCAACATGATCTTAATGACTTTTTAGCATCTTTCGTTTCTGAACATCATTTCAGCTGCTTACCATGATATTAGGCAGTGTGGCATATCTGGGGGTGTTGAGTCGAAGGTCTGCAGTGATCACTGCTGGTGTGTTGATCTTAATATGTTCCAGACCACCATCGATTTCTCTGACCAAATTAATCTTGTCTCCTTCCAAGGACACCTCTGATGCAAAGGTACCCTGCAATGTGAAGATACGTATAATTTCACAAAATAAATACATTAAAAAAAAATTCACAGTAGGATCTCCCCTGGGAACTGTTCCTCTATTTTCATCTGCTACCCATTATATGGGACTCAGTTAATGCCATCTGCTGGTTTGCTAGTGTAACTACAACTACAAATAATCTTGACTACAGGAGTAATGTATGTAACCCAAATTTATAAACAATTTTTGACATTTACATTACAATGTCTGTCTATCCAAGTGCCCAACCTGGACACTGTAAATAAGATTAAAATGCTCCGTTTTAACCAGCCAAAGGAGAACTTCACTCCATCTATCCAGGCAGCCTTTGACTTTGGATTTGTTGATATGTGCAGGACTACTGTGGATCTTACTGACGCAAACTAGTGTTTACCAACTTTGATAAGGTTAGTGAAGGCTATTGGGAACAGGAACATATCCTCTTATCATTACTGCTATACAACACCCACGAAGAAACAGAAAATCTACAAAAAAAAGAAAAGAAAGGAAATAAACTGATACCTACATAATTATGGGGTCAAATATCTCAGTGCTACTATTTAAGGTAGTCTTACCTGAGGCCAGTCCAGTAAAGCTGCTGTCATCTGGCCAGTCTGATTGCAATCATCATCGATGGCCTATGAAATAAACACAAGTCCTTAATTACTTAACAGCAGTGCAAGTATTCTTTAGAGTACGCAAACTAAGAACGCAATTTGAGAGAGTGTGAGGAAAATAAACTGAAATCTTTAACCTGTTTGCCAAGGAGAATAAGCTGAGCATCCTCCTGTTTGGCAAGAGCTGCCAGGATCTTAGAGACCTGAAGGGGTCCCAGGTTTTCATAGTCTTTCCCACTCACATCCACATGAATGCCACGGTCAGCCCCCATGGCAAGGGCAGTACGGATGGTCTCCTGAGTTAGAAAAAACACATGTAAGAGAACTTTTCTTTGGCTTGATGTTTGATGAAAACCCTGAAATTATAATCGTTGATAACCTTAAACATATTAAAAGTACATTTATGTTAACATCATAATAATCACTTTCTGCTTACTGTGAGTCTGACAGGTTATATGCATGGGATTTCAAAAATTCTTTTACATGTAAAATAATACGATCGATCGATAGATCGATCAATAGATCGATCGATAGATATCTCAACTTGCAGCAGCTCCAAAAAACTCCAAAAAGCAGTTAACTTGCTAAATTACTGTCTCGCCCCAGCTCATTCACCTGCGACTGCTGTGGCCCACAGCTGACAGCCACAACCTCCTTAATAAGCTTCTTCTCCTTCAGCTTGACCGCCTCCTCTACAGCAATCTCACAGAAGGGGTTCATTGAGTGCTTAACGCCATCTGTCACCACGCCAGTGTTGTCTGGCTTCACACGGATCTGTGGAGAAACAAAACAATAACACGGGGTCACTACAGAGGAGCTAAATTAAAGAAACCTGTCAAACACAATGACAGAAGCTTAGAAATGAACCGAACCAATACAAGGTGTTAAAAAGGTAAATACATCTAGTGATGGATATTTAAACAGATTTAATCTAACTGGCAGAAAACCTTTAACTAATCTTATCTTTTTTAAAAATTGGTCTGAAATAACCAATTCTGACACCACTGGCATTGATGTGCTACTATAATCACTTCTACTCTTTTGGAAAGTCACAAAGGTAGCACTGTTGCTGGCACTGGGCAATAAGGCCTTGCTTTGGAGCTGCTGCGACTTCCATGCCAAATTGAGAAAAAGTATATACATCTCAAGGGACTGGGCAGGGTGTTGCGGAAAAGGTCTTCCACAATTGTGGCCAGGATATTTGCAGTATATTAATGATTTTTTTTATTGTCATTGTATGACAATAAAAAACATTAAATTAAAATTAAAATAAAAACATTAATTAAAAAAATAAGAAAAACCTAGTGGCTTTAACATTTCTGTGAATGGACCCTGCCATAAAGTCAATATAATGAAACTTCACTTATACAGAACACTTACCAGTTAAAAATTCAATTCTTGCAGTAATCAGTCAGTCATATAAAACACGAGTGATAAAATATAAAATAACATCAGAACACTTAATCTGACATTGCAAGCACGCGTGGGCATTTCCCCAAACTGCACACAATTTAAAATGGGAAAAAAATAAATAAAGCCAATGCTCTGAAAGTACTGACCTCTTCCTATCAGACCGCTGAAGATATAGTAATCATAGTCGCTTTAACACTGTGCGGATCCTGCTGAGAGCAGCTCAGGCAGGACTGTTCTTGCTGCAACATACACCAGCTAGTATTGCTTATTGATTATGGTGCTGTACCTCAACTGAAGGGTAATGTTAAAAAGTCAAAAATATTCCCATTTGAATAACTGTTCCTGCAACATACACGCCTGGCTTACAAACTACTTTAAAATTTGGGAAAGTCACTGCCCAGTTTGCATGGAAGTTATGCCAGAGGTTCAAACAGACATGTTATACAACTTGCAAGAAGTCGTTTGCTGCCCTGCTAAACACAAACTCAGCTTCTCAGTATTGTGCATTAAATAAATGAATACATGAATTTGGCTAGAGACAAACAACTTATCTGTCAAAATAATATGACCGGTCAGTGGTGTGGTGTTGCTCTTGTTTCCACAACCAACTGACGATTTTAGGCTAACATTAGCTAGCAGAGCACAGAATGTCAAATAAGTGAGCAAAGAAAAATACCTTTAAAATCGCGAAAGAAAATAGGTAATTTGACCTAAGATATTACCTTAACTGCATAGTCAATGACACGCTTAACTCCGACGAGAACACGGCCAGACATTGTAGCTGAAACGTTTAAATATAACAGACAGCTAGCGCTACACAGTCACCGCAATGAACCTTCACTGAAGAAGCAGTCGGAATTATTTCAGGGTGAAACCAGAGGAGAGACTAAAGTGACCGCCCCCCACTCTAGCCAATGAAATGTTGGCATTATCCAGCGTTGTAGGTTACGATTGGCTGTCGTGTGTAAGTTGGTTGCTAAACTCAACAAAAAGTCGCCGGTCGCCGCAATTTCGTTGATTGAATAACAGTTCGAACTTACTGCGATTGTTGCTGAATGACACTTATATCACTTCCATTACTATCGTAATGAATATCTTATTGATCAACTTGGTTAAAATGAGTGAATTACGATGAACCACATACGAATCACACGGTGCCCCACATATCTATGTAATAAACAAAACCCAGAGAAGAAGAGTTCCGCTTATATGGGGCAAAGGTCACGAATAACAGAGTGACATAATGACAATCATATTGAGTATCAAAAAACGTTTTAACTCCACCTGATAGACGATAAGTCAGTGTACTCCTAGTGCCAGTCCCTGGCTAAATGGGTTGGGTTAGATCAAAAAGGTCATTCAACATAAAGTTTTACCAAATCAAGCATGCGGACCATTAAGAATGCTATTTACATGCAGGTTGCCATCAAGGTGCCAATAGAAACTGTGCTACTAGTGGCCGGAGACAAAGAAACAGGAGAGGGGAAGGCATGTTCAGAGCCAACAAGAGAGAAAGATAGGCGGGAATGAGTGTGTGATTGTGAAAGCGAAAGAGCTGGCTGATAATAATGAAGCGAAGGAAGGTAGATATATTGCGTTTAGAGGAGACCAGGTGGAAGGGAACGATGGCCAGACAGATGAGGTCAAGCAAGAGTCTCAGTGGACTATAACATTATAGTCTTAATGATAAAATTGTGAGAGAGTAAGGAGCAGGTGGAAGAGAGCCTGGAGAGGTGAAGGTCTGTTCTCGAGAGAAGAGGAGTGAACGTTTATAGAACTGAGATATAATATGTGTGTGAATAGGAGGAAAACAGGCATAACAGTGAAGTTGGTTGAGTTTAAATACCCAGGGTAAACCCAGTATTGGCATTATGGATAAGCCTTGGGGGTCCAGGCCTGCCCACTAAAGCCATTATGCCACCTCAGTTAAATTCTGCTAATAAACTTGAATTTATACAATTTGGTAATGAAAAACATAAAGACCAGTACCATCAGTAAATTATTGCATTGCAAACTCAATTTAATTATTCAGTTCACGGCAGTTTAGTAATTCTACGGCAATCATGTTAACCAGGAGGACAATGAGTGGATAGGCCTATGCAGGTCAGACTTTGGGAGGTACTTCTCATGTCTGTCTGACACTAAGAAAGATCATTCATCAACTTGTGCATTTGGTGTTAAAACAAGAAAGCTGCAAAACAAATGGAAATGTGTTGAGGATATGTGCTCATCTCTCCTAGTGGATGGTGAGTTCACTGATCCCCCTTTGCATTTAGAGAAAATCTAGCTCCTGCTTTGTCTCTTATAAATGGCTACATTTCTCTGTATGTGTATTATGTGTGTACAGCTGTAAGTATGTATAACATGTATAACGTATGTATAACGTATAACATAATGGTGATTAGTGACAGAAGGATAGTAGCAAGAGTGAAAATTTACAAGTAAAATGTATAGTTTGGAGATGGTAGCACTGGCAAAAAGATAGGAGGCAGAGCTTAAGATGCAAATATTTACATTGGGAGTGACCAAAATGAACAGGATTAGAAATGTGTACATCAGAGGGGCAGCTCAGGTTGAGCGGTTTTAGACACAAGGTTAGAGAGACATGGCTGAGATGGTTTGGACATGTGAAGAGGAGGGATAGTCCATGCATTGCACTAGGATGCTGAAGATAGAGCTGCCAGGCTGTTGGAAAAGAGGAAGACTACGGAGGAGGTTCATGGAGTTAAGGAGGATATGCATAGGAAGAAGAGGAGGCTACAGATAGGGTGAGAAGTAGGCAGATAGTCTGCTGTGGGGACCTCTAAAGGGAGCAGAAGAAGGAAGAAATATGTGTGTCAGTTGTAAGTTTATCGTGTATCAGGTTGAGTTAAAAAGTTAGAAAAAAAAAAACACACACACAGACAAAATATTCAACTGTTTTAGCCTCCTACATATGGACATCACATTTTTGGGTTGTCTACCAAAATACAAAAATTTGGCTCTTCAAGGGCCTGATATCCACTTACAAGGACATTATACTTGCCACTGTTCTATCGAAATTTAAAACGAATGTCCTCATATGTGGATCTTATTTTTCTCAGAAACAAAAATCAGGTATAAAAAAATCACGTAATTCTTTGTTTTTACATTCATCAGGTCCCAATCAGCCCAAATAGCAAAGATAAAGTAAAAATGCATGCCATGAAAGATTTCGTTTCTTAGGGGGTTAATATGTATAATATAATATGTCCAGTGTTCACTGAAAATGTGTTATTAGCACACTTGTTTTGCTTTACTTTCTTTCTTTCGACTTCAGTTTGTTTTGTTTTTCTTCTTTTGGCCCGCAATAATTAGTAAAATCGTGGAGGCAAAAATAAAAGAATAGTTTGAAATAATCTTCTAAGCTTATTTTGCTTTTTGTTATTAGAATACACTTAAATGCCACTTTGTACGCAAGTCTTGGTGTTAACGAAGACTAATGCGCTCATAAATAATAACGATGTGGCATTAATACCTTGCTGGTTCAGATCTGAGCCAGAACATTGTGCCACTCTCTCGCGCATTAATAATAATTTTTTTTTAAAAAAAAGCTACGTGCATAAGTTACTTGTGGAGCCTGTTCGTTACTCCCAGGTCACCGACAGAGAAGCTTTTTGTTTGCATTTTAATTGGTTTGCAACACTCAGTGTCTTCCCCACGCTCTAGCTGATGTTAATTCGCACTTTTATGGTCACCGGTGGGGGTGAGAAACCGTAGCGAAACGTTATCGACCGTGGAGACCGTGGTCCCCGGCAAGCAGCAAATCCCTCCGGCGCGACAGCTGATCGAGAGGAGTTACCTCGGATCACCCAGCGACATCAGCAGCGGCCTCCATTTTAACTTCGACACCGAGCCGTACCTCACGTGTCCTGGGCTGTCTCTCTCACATGACCCGAGTGTTTGTTCCCGTGATCAGCACTTCCATCTCCGTCTGTGACACCGAATATCACTTTTTATTTCAACACTGATGGATATGCTTGAACAGAGTCTGGACACCGCAAGGTAACTCGGTCAAAATGGCTAACTGAAAGAAGCTAGCCGCAACATGCTATTTCACACAGCTAGTTTACGACGCTAACCAAGGCCTTACTTATAAAGTGTTGTCAAAACGAATTTAATGTGTAGACTACAGCTAAGTTAGCAACACAGGTGGACAACTCTTTAAGCGGTATAACTTGGTTATATCCAAGAATAGTAGTGTTCATAGTTAACAGCTGAGAGAGCTTAAGCTAGCTTTTAAAACAAATAACTATTCTCAGCCACTCTTGGTAAACCAAGGGCAGTTGCTGTGCTGTGTTTTTCATTATAATTGTCCTGCTGGCTGACTGACTTCCCAGACATCACTTGCCACCCCTTACGGTGAAGTGGAGGGTCAGTTATTACTTTCATTTAATACATTGATATATAATTTTCACAAACATTAGCTGGTTGCGTAGCTTCTAACAACTGAGGTATTTCTGTATCCGCTTTGCAGCCAAGAAAAACAAGAAGAGGAGGTTGTCCAGGGATCTGAAGGTAAGGATTTATTTACTAAGCTGTCTTTGATCACACTGTAGTTTTGTGTGCGTACACAATACTTTATAAAAAAAAAAAGCCACAAGCTCTTTCCTCAGTACACTTGCTTTTTTTTATGTGCTGCAACATTGAGCTTCGTTATTTGCAGCTACACTCGGGGCTTGTTAGCTGTTTAGTTACTTTTTCCATTCTAACTCCTGTTTCTTTATCCCCCTTTTCCCTTGAAGACGGAACAGGAGAAGAGCAGACAGCTGTTACAATAGCCAGTGTACCTCAGGCTGCAACATTTGGTGACCATAACATACAATATCAGTTCCGCACCGAGGGTGGGCAGGTAAGTAGTTAATGGATGGAAGTGTGGACACTACTGATTGTTGCTGTTTAATACCCATTTCAGAAAGCGTCTAAGTGTTCCTAATTGCATAAGGGCCTAGACAGTTAGAATAAATTGCCTCTGTTTAGCACTTATGAGAGTACACAAACAGCACAGAGTGGATAAATGTCCATGGGGTGTTTGTGCAGCACGATAATTACCAACTGAGAACTCTCAGCTGCATATTGATGGAGGTGGTTGAAAAGATGCTTGGACATATGGCAAACAACAGTGAGTGATTATATATGTTGAAGAACCATACTCCCGACGACAGTCCTTAATGTTTAGGCTTACATTTTCTTTTTATCTGATTGTTTTTCTTTTTCTGTGTGCTTTGACACCCTCCTCTATTACAAAGTCAGGAGGAAAGCACTCAGTAAATTCCCTGAAGGTATCAATGTTTATAGTCTTTTTTTTATAGCCTCAAAATTGACTGTTGACCTTTGTACAAAAGTGTCTCCTTCCTGTTCACTATGTGGTTTTCACACCACTGTTGGTCAGTGGTAAACAATGGGTCAGTAATGCCAGCATATACACTAAAAAAGGTATTGTGACATTCATGTTGGTTTACCCTTACTGGGTGGTTTGCGCTGGAGGAAATTGAGTCAGTGATCCATGTGGTTCAGGCATAAACAAGACTAGTGTGAGCAATCATGTGATTTCAGTCTGGTCTGGGATTGGCATGAGACTGCTGTCACATGTCAGTCAGGAGGAAAGTCACATGATAGAGGGATACAAATACTGATTCTTCGAACAAACAAGCTCATTTTCCTTGCTATTTAAAATTAAATCAGGCGCATTCTGAAGCGTAAGCATATTGTGGGATGGTGAGATCAATGCACAAGTGAGGTTAGAACTGTAGTGTCAGGATACTAGGCTGAGCAGTACGGAAGCAACAGATATGATAAACAAATCAACAAGTCAGGTAAGGTGCTGTTTTATACACGGTATGATTGAATAATGCAAAAAAAATACATAGAGTAAGGATATAAATGGGGAAGCAACTAGTTGCTCTCTTTGTTTTCTTCTTATTCTCTCTTTTTACCCAAATTTGTTTTTCGTCTGTGCAGGTGACGTATCGTGTTGTCCAGGTGACTGACCAACACCTTGATGGAAGAGATGATGCAGGAGGAGCAGTGAGCGTTGTCTCAACAGCTGCATTCACCGGGGCTCCTCAAGCTGTGGCACAGGTATCAAAATTTTACACTTTTGACTGGACCAAAGGGAAACCACTAGTAGTTTAAACCATTTTTTAAAGCTTGCTTTCTTTATTTACGTGTTAAAGGATAAGGTGGAAGTTAATTTCTGCGTATTTTCATTTGCAACAGTCTCACTGAAAACAACTAAAACCAGTGTTATTCTAATTTCTTTTGTTTCTTTGTACACGCTTGTCATGTTTTAAAACATCAAGTTTACAAATACTGTTAAAGACATGAAATATATCATCGATCAGTATATACATCTATTGGCTGAAAAGTAGGTATATGAAGTTATTACTGTCTCAGTAATATTATTTTAGCTATAAATTATGTCTGACAGTGCAGAGTGTGGCTGTAAGTAAGGCACACAGCCATGCTCTTGTGTTGAGTCATGTTTTTTTTCCCCGCTTTATGTAATGTTTTATGCAGACCAACACTAACAAAGATTGCTGTCTATGAGTGAAACAAGATGGTGTAACCAGTTTTTGGTTTCAAGCTGGTAAAATAGTATCAACTTGCAGAAAGGTGTGTTGTTTTGGTTACTCCTAAAAACAATTATGCTTATTAGCAAATTGTGAACTGTTGTGAGTACTTTTGAGTACACAGATAAAGCTTTTTGCTTTATATATACAGATAAAGCTTTTTGCTTTATCTGTATATATAATTCAAAAACGTAAAGTTAAAAAAAAAAAAAACGGTGTTGTATATCTATTATTATCAGTTATTCTCACCAGTTTTCCATATCACATCATCTCTACTTCACTGATTCACTGAAATTGCAGCAGCGGGTGTAATTTCTCTAAGCTTGCCAAGATGGAAAAATAGTCTAAAGAGGGAATTGTGTGCCCGAATATAATATCTAGTCAACACAAAGTGAGTCACATAGGTGTATAGTTTCAATGTGTGTAGTGCCAATAGTTGTAGCACAAGAACTGCAGTAACAGTCGGAGCACAGTTTGAGCTAAAAATATGCAATTTTTCTAGCAAGAACAGACCAAATTTGTTTTCATTAGTGCTATACTGATGGCTTTACTGACCTTGCTATTATCCCCGCTAACAAGATCACTGCTGCTTCTTTGCCTCCCTTTATCCTAGCTGTCAAATGGAACTGTGTCTTGCTTGGGGGGGTTTAGCAGGGATACCAGTATTGAGTCTGACAGAGGATGAGGTGTGCGTTTACCTGCTGTGACTGCTCCATTGCTGCTTGTTCATGGCTCTCCTCTGTCTCTCTCTTATCTGTCACAGGCTGTGATCCAGAACCCTTTCAGTAATGGAGGAAGCCCAGCAGGAGAGGCAGTGGGAGGGGAGACCCGCTTCGCTTACTTCCCCGCAACTGCGGTGAGCGACGGGACTGTGTCTGTGCAGGCCGCCACGGACCCCACACTCACACAGGCAGGGGGTGAGTCAGTTCTCACACCTAATTTGGGCTGGGGCTTATCACAGTGCTGCAGAGCTAATTAAGCTATTATTTTCAGTGACAAACAGAAGTGTGTTTTGAAGTACCTTAAGGAGAGAATAGCTGTCCTTTTTTTTTATTAGTGAAACACGATCCTGACAGTTTGAGCTGATAACAAAGAAATCAGGGCCATTTACAGCAGATACAAAGAATAAGCAATATATCTAATCCCTCCCTGTTGAGATAAATTATCTATGATGAGCCTCTAAATATCAATATTTTCATTCTCTATGTAGCTTTTATAAATAGATTTCCTCACCAGCTTGGGTGACTAACCCACGAATCCCACTGGTGGTGCTTTATATGACAAAAGCGGGTGAAGTAATACATGTTCAATTCATATTTACATATGTTCACTAACATATATTTGGTGAGGAAGAAGCAAAGCAATCCAAATATGATAATGACAATTACACTTGCTTTTTTATATATATATATATATTTATTTTTTTTTTACAGATGATAAACCTAAATATGTGTTGCAGAATCAATTTGCTCTGTGATTCCTTCCCCCCCATTTGGATATTTTTAATCAGTAAGTTATTTTAAAATATAATTTATGATGCTGGAGAACGCAGTTTTCTCCAACTGTGAATCAGCAATTTTTAAGGGTCATTAGATCTTTATTAAAGTTGTAATAATTATGAGAAATATTTTAAATTGCACATACCCAGCAGCTCATTTTAATCTGTTTCAGATTCCTAACTTGGTAATGTGATGGAAACATTTTTTGCCATGACTAGAGTTTGCCTCCTCCAAGTCAAATATTATCAGACGCCAAAATTAAATTTGCCATGTTTACCATGTTTACTTGTTTACTTCATGTCACATGTCTTCCTATTCTGCTTCTCCTCCTCTTTCCTACCATATGCCATCATCTGGCTGTACTACCCGTCCTTGTGGTTTTATGCTGGTTGTCCAGGTCAGGCTATCATTGGCTGAAGCTGTGTTCACTGAGCGCTGTAAGTGCTCAGTTGACCTAGAGAACAAGATCTAGGCTTTAATGCCTTTTTTTTTTTAAACTAAAAAATAAACAAAACAAAAAACTGCCATCTACCTATTATGGATTATTCCGCTAGAACTAGCAAGCACACTGTTACTGCTGGCTGGCAGTTGACTGTTGGATGGTCATTATTTGTCTTCAGGATTGTTATGAAAGAGTCGAACATTGTGGGTCTCTAAGGATTTTATGTAGGAGAATGTACAGCCTGGACAGGAGTTATTGTAGGAACTTGTAATTCATCACCCAGTGTTCCTGCTGCTGGCGGTGCTTCTTGCTGTCATTTTGGCCCAGACTTGGGGTCTAAAAATGCTTGAAACTGGGATTCAACGTATCTTCAACATAAATCTATAGACCCAAGGCTGAAAGAGACAGTTCAAGTGCCACATTTAAGATTTTAGCCCTATACCTCATACGATATCATATTGTCCACAATAATTTTGGTATAACTATTTGCGATACATAAAAGTGTCTCGTCTTGATAAATATAGCATTTATGTTTGCTAGGGTACACAACAAGTCCAAGCATGTCTTAGACTGAGAACTACACGCCAGCCTCCAGTGATGATTTAGTGACCAATGCTTTGCAAAATACACAAGAAAACAGTTCACCCTAAAAGTAGAAACAGCAAATTTGTTTAACCACTTGAAGCAAAGGGCATACAACCAGGCTATGAAGAAGATGCTAGCTGACACAAAAATAAACAAATGCAGCTATTACTCTAGTTGCATTTGGTATGACTGGAAAAGCAAGCATTGCATGAAAATTACTCATGTGTTACATGGTAGAAAAGTAGGGCACTAAGCAGTTGTTTAAAAAGCTCCAAGCAAAATCCAAAATTCTGGATAAAAAATATTGTTAAATTTCAATTTTATTATGTGCTCTTAACTAAAAATGTAAATCTGTTTTTGTGCGTTGGAAGAAAAACACCACAAAAACAATTAAATGTAACTCCCGCTCATTGTCTCACTTACCACTAATACGTATAATAAATTACAGCTTTGTAATTTAATAAACTGGAATTACACAGTTCCACAAAAACAATTAAGTGTAACAGTGCAGGCTGCTAAAGTGTGGCTGGTTTAAGTTGCTTTTTTGTTAAACTAAAATGTTAGACAGTTATATTTTATTTTACCTAAAAGAAAAAAAGGTGGAGAATTCCCTTCATTTTGTTTGCACTAATAAATGCTGCTGCCTGCAAGCTGCAATCACCAATAAAATGTTCAATATTTTTCTTCTGTGTCATCAAAAATAACATTTCCTTGAACTACTGTGATATAATTTTGAGACTACATCACCCACCCCTAATATCCAATGTGACCTTACATTATGCATTGTTTGTGTCTTCTTGAGAGAGATGGATACTTTGGACACATAGAAATAAGACAATATTTTGCTGACTATAACATACATGTGGATGTATGTAGTAGTTTGTGGCAGCAAAACTACACAAACAAGTAGCAGGCACATGGCACTGAAACTTTCATAGTAAAAGAACAAAAAATGATTTACTTTTTTCTGTTATTTTGTAATCCAACTCATAAACATGATTAAAAAACACAAAAATGAAATGAGTTTAAAACCCCACCTGAGCTCAGTCACGCTCCAGTAAAACACCTATGTAGAGGCACATCTGGGGTCACACAAGGTCATTGCATTGATTCCTTAAATCATTAGGTTTCTTTGATGTAGCTCATCCATTGCTAATTACAGACATAGCTTGTCAAGCTCATGCAGCACATCCACACACACACTGCTTTTCTCTCTCGTTGAGCATTGTGTGTCTACTTCCATCACATGACTTAAACCCACAGAAGTCAGATACCCTTAAGGCCATATCAGTTGATGCACCTCAGCTGTAACTTGTATAATAGGCTCGGCTAGGTGCAGCTTTAAGAGTGAGATTGGAGCCAAAGTGTTAATGCAGTTTGATATAAAAAGCAAAGCACTTAATGTGCATTGAGCATCTTAAAACATTAAGACGTGGCCTCATTCAGAGGGAGCATCTGCAGTCTGCTTTAGCAGCAGATTGGAAAGCCAGAGTGCCTGGTTAAAAGACTGAATGTACCTTGCTGTTTTCATCTGAGAAATACTGATTTTCTTGTGTGTTTTCTGTTAGTGACTGATTCTGCGTTTTAGTCCTTGATCACATTCTTTGAAAAAGAAATTACTACAGGCTGAATGTTTGTGTCAAGACCTGTTATTTGGGAAGGTTTTCTGTGAGAGGACCTTCATTTTTTGTGGATAGTTTTTTTTTTTTTGTGGCAGAAAATTGTGTTGCTCATTTTGTTTGTCAGGCCAGGTCTGCCATCTTGCTGACCCAGATGACAAGATTAGGTGGCTTAAGATAAAATAAGTGGATTTATTTCTTGATGATGTTTTGGCTCTTGAATGAATATGGTATGAATGAGTAGTGTTAGTAGAATATTCTTCTGTCTACATCTTGATTGTACATGAGAGTTGAGCCTGTTTCTACACAGTTGGCACAGTTGCATCCTTACAAGAAATTTCGGGGTTCCACTTTGCTAGTTGGCTTAAGGATTTCTGTGTTATTTTATCGTTGTGCCAGATGTGGCTTTTCTCTACTTTCCTCCCACAGTTTAATGACATGCACGTTAGGTCAGTCGATGATTCTGAATCAGTCGTAGGTGTGCATGTGAGTTTAAATGGTTGCCTGGCTCTTTGTGTTAGCCCTGTGTTGAGCTGGCAACTTGTCCCTGCCTGTTGTCCAATTTCAGCTGGGACAAGCTCCAGCCACCTTCCCCTGGATCCTCGTTGGATAAGCACTTAAAAAATTAAATGAATCAAGTCAGTCTTCTGTGAAATGTTGAGCTGTCTTACTCTTCATTGTTGACTGATTACACCTGTGCCTTCCACAGGTCAGTTTTATGTGATGATGACCCCTCCTGATGTCATTCAGACAGGCACACCACGAACCATTGCCCCACGAACACAGCCATACCCTGCGTAAGTATCATCTCTGTCATCTGCTGTTTGTGTGATGGAAACAATATTGCCATTGCAGCTTGAGACACATAAAACTAGGCATGTTTTAATTTCAGTGGAGTTTAAAAGTAGATTTAATGACAAAAGCTGTTAAATACATCTAATATCATAATAATAAAGTTACTATGATAGGTTTCAGTTAATTTTGATAAGGGCTTTACGCATTTATTGCAGCAATAAATGATTTGTGTTTAGCAGTGTGGCTCTGCTCTCTTAATGCTTCAGAGTGCATCTCTACAAAACACATCCTTTCAAGAAATGGTATCCATCAGAGTCTGAATTAGTACTGTCATAACAACGAGGGCATAGATTATCATTAAAAGATAAATATAACAGCAATATAAAAAAAAATTGTTGCACTTTTTCAAAAAGCCTCTAAGATTGTGATGCATTGAAAAGACAATAAAGTCTTATTTAACATAGCAAGATGTTCATTTTGTGAATTATCATTCCTGTTTTAAGGTATAGAGTAAAGCAGTGTATGTTTCAACCGTGTGACTAAAAAGGGTTGCTACTGTGTTGGTTTTGGAGTCAGATCTACCCCTTTCTCATACATCTAGTTTCAAAAAGCCAAGATATTGATCCGCAAAATGCTCGAATCGAGGTGGCAGAACAGAAGCTAAAAAATGAAAGGGTGAATATGTCGTAATAAGCCGTTTAAAATAGTTTCCTAAATTCAGAGTTTAAATGAGATGTATTTTCAAAATCAGTATTTAGCACGCTATAACTGTAACTGCTAATGCAAGAGGGGAGTGTAGAAGTAGAGGGGGTTAAACTGCAATGCAGCAGATTGGAATGATGTATTAGTAGTAATCTATCTGAGCAAAAGAGAATTGTCTCATATGAATGAATGTTCTATTCAAACATGACTGAAAGACTACTGTGACGTCCATTTGAACAACTGCAAGGCTCAAATTTCTCAGCCTTGCTGCCACTGCTGTTTTCTTTTACTCAAGGCTGTTTTTCTGCCCAGGTAATCTCTCTTGTGTTCACCCCAAGTTCATGGTTATGATTGATTTTTAAGGATTTCTTTTTTTCTTTTTTTAGCACATGGTAGCCACACATCCTTTTTTTTTTTTTTTTTTTTTAACCTTTCGAACTCTCATACTGTTTAACGCTAAAATTCACAACATGCATTATTCTAATCATGCATCAAAGGGATCCATCTCAGACTCTCCAACTGTTAGCCACATGCTGGTGATTGCTGTTATTAAGATCATCAGCAGGCTCACCTGAGCAAAGGGTTTTAATTTTAATTGCATGCGAACCAAGCTGGTTTTGGCCTACTACTGATTTTTATTCAGAAAAGGGAATTTAAACAAGCTTTATTTATTTATTTCATGGTTCATTTGAGTGCCAAAACACACCGGCACAAGAGCCATAGCCCTGTGAGATTCAAGGCTCATGAATGTCGGCTAGGTTTTGTTTTTTTGTTTTGTTTTGGTTTTTTTGTACCCTGTTTGGTACGAGCCAGTTTTTTGCCTGGTTGGTCACTTAAAAATTAACACGTGACCCAATATCAAATTGAGTTAGCTCCGAACCTAAGTGAATATTCCTCTGATTTCATCCTGGCCTATACTTAACCTTTAACTCGTGAAAGTGATTGGATTGTGGTCAATCAGATAACACTGCTATAAGGAGAATAGCAACCAGGATACAGCACTTTATCTTCTATTTATCTTCTATCTAAGCTGTTTTTTTTACATTTCATTTCTCATTTATTTATTTATTTATTTATGTATTTATTTATTTTTCCAAGAACTAGAGATAATTTTTTGTTCTTCTGTTCAGGACACATTTAAGGGGAGTTGTGACTTATTGTACATGAATAATTTATGATTTTCAGTGACTTCAAATAGAATTATATTTACATGTAAAGTGATGAACCGTGACGTTTTCGTTGGCATGTGAGCAAAGTGAATGAAAACTACCCAACCTATCTGCCATTCACAGAGATGAAAACGAGCTGCTGCAACATGAAGTTTTAAACTGGTGAGGACAGTTTCCACATTTCTCCCCACTCCTCTTACAGCAAATGAACTAATCAAATTAGATCACAAGAAGCAAAGAAGCACACAAACCTCTGCCCTTCACTTTTCTCCACCCCTCCCTTCCTCCCTGGTGATTCTCCCTGCTCTTGATGTGTGAGACACAGATGTAGCAATTTTTCAGTGCTGACCCTGATCCATTGTTGTTAGTACTGCTTGTGGCAAATGTATTTTTCCATTAGGACCTAGAAATCAGGTCATTGTTCTCCATCTGGAAACAAATGGCTCACTCCACACTTTTATTTTAGTATAATTTTCAAAGTGTCCTTTGTTGTAGCCATTTGAGTTTGGTTCTCTTTCAGCCTAGTTTTAAAGTTGGTCATAAAACTATATGGACAGCATTTGCTCTTTAAGTGCATTTTGTTGATATGACAGGGCTATTGAGATAAATTGAGCCAATGGAAGCCATGTGCTTTCACTTGGAACATCTACTTTCAAAATAAGTAGTTATTTGTGACTAACTAGCTAATACTCACAAATTTTTGTGCTCATTTTTTTGAGACAATGACAGTAATATACACAGGATCTTTTTTTTTTTTTTTTTTTTTTTTTTTTTTAAATGTAATTATTATTATTTTATTTTTTTTAGAATTATTTTTCTGAACTCATCCATCGAGGTGATCTGAATCTCAGCCTGCAGTCTCTTGTTTTTCACTGTGTAATTTAATGAAATATTGTCAAGGCCATGGCTTGGTGACATAAAAGCAAAACTTTGGAAGAGGGTGGAGAGTGGAGGTGCATTGGTAAATGATTACATTTGTCATTTTAAAGATCAATAAAAAATTGTGCAGATCTTTTTTGTTTTATACATGCTGTATTCAACATATGGAAAGTCTTCTACCAGAGGAAACGTACTCATAATTTTTGGGGTTTCTCTGGCAGCCTTTACTCTCGGGGGCACTTAAAAGAGGTGTGCAGGGAAAAAACATTCCTCTAGGCATGTACATTTAGTTATTCAAACCGCCATCCACATATTTTAACACTTTGCCTAAGAGTACTGTTTGGCTGCTGAATCCATTATACAGCTGAAATCCCATTAAGATGTGTTGAGATACATGTGAGAGAGCCGTTTGGCTTAGCTGACTATCTCAAACGAAGCTATCAGCAGTCAAGTTGTGTTGATTGGACACAAATTCTCTGCAGTAGACTAGAAAAGATTTGTTTTAAGGCAGACAATGAAGACAAACAACCTCATAGGTCATTTATTACGTCACACAAATTGCAGGCAAAATTGCAGTGGCAATAAGGAGTAGTTTAATTTATTCTCAGAATTTTGTAGTCCCCGGTGTTCAATTAGTGAAACCAACACTTGGTTGTACAGCTATCAACCACAGCTTTAAACCTAGTTGAAAGGAATAACATTGATTACCTTTTTATAATGTAATGCTCTGTCAGGACATCCCGGGTCCAGCCTTTTATGTGGCAGGTGCCCTCAGTGTACACTAGACCACATTTGATTATGTGTGAGTGTGTTATTGGTCTCTTCATGCCATGGTGGGTGGTATGATAAGTCTCCTTGTCACGTCTCTGAGACTTAATTAACTGAATCCTGGGGGAGGTTGCAAAGACAAGAGACAGTTGTGTCATTAGGTGTACACCACAACTTCAGTAAGCAGCATCTGGTTTTCTACAGTGTTGTAATTTTACAGCATAATAAAGCATTACACTTCCTCCAGGCCACACCTGGGAAGAGGACAGGCAGCTAAAGTAAGGAGGCTAGCTGATTCTCAGTATTCCAGACAAGGCAGCTTGGCTCAAGGCTGCAGGCGTCAGGACTGCATATGTGACCTCATAGGGCTGTGCATCATTTAATATTTCTACCAAAGGCACTAACCATCTTCAGAGGCTCATTTTAAATGGCAATAACAATAGGCTTGAATTTAAAGATAACAGTGAAGAATGGTTTTTAATAGGCAAAGGATTTGGAGGATTGGATTGGATTTGTGTCCGATTGTATGGAGCGCAGAGATGGGAGATATTGTAGTGCATGAAAAGTGTTTTATTTCCTGTCTATCTGCAGGAAAATGGATGGACCCCGAACACCAAGAGATGAAAGGAGAAGAGCACAACATAATGAAGGTGGGTAATTAGTCATGATTGTGGCTTTTGATTTCATCAGACAGTCTTAACACAATGCCGTGTGGTGCCTAAATGGAACATTTTTTGATGAAAGAAAATCACTAAGCCCTCACAAAATATTCTGTTAAGAGTAAAAAAAAAAAACAGCATATAATTTTGACCAGCCACTAGAGGTTGCTGTTGAGCTGTCAAAATCAGTCAGGAATGTCGGTACTGACAAGATCCGGCAGATGAAAACCTTGTTTTGTAAATCAGAATGACCTGTGATCTTTTACTGTAGCTTAAATTAGAAATCTGGAAATGTGGCTTGTATGCATATACTCCTTTTAAAAACAGTTCTTCTTTCATCTCTGTTCATCAGTCGAAAGACGGCGAAGAGACAAGATCAACAACTGGATTGTCACACTTTCCAAGATTATCCCAGACTGCAGTATGGATAGCACCAAAACCGGAGCAGTAAGCAGTTTGTTTGTCTTTTAAATTTGCGCTTGACTCATTAATACTCTATAAAAATTATATTTATCACAATAATTATATTTCTTTTTTTAAAAAAAAAAAAAAAAACTGTGACAATGCCTCTGTATTTATAGAGCAAAGGAGGCATCCTGTCTAAAGCTTGTGACTATATTCGTGAGCTGAGGCAAAGCAACCAGAGGCTGCAAGAGAGTCTGAAGGAAGTGGAGAGGATACAAATGGACAATGAGTTGTGCAGACAGCAGGTATGAATATCAGTCTTTGCTCTAGGCTGCAAATGGGGCATCAAGCGAAGTTTCCGTGACTTTGGTAATGTGTAAAGAAGGGCTATGAATGATAATTCAGAGTCCTCCTTTGAGGTGGTTGGGTGTAGCAGATAAATAAACTTGCGCATAATAAGGCCGGCATAGTGGGCTTCATATGTGGCTGTGAAGATTGCCACTGCATTGAATAGATTAGTTTGCTTTATAATTCAATGCAACATTCTTTCACTTGAGTCTCAGAAGCATGAAATCCACCTAGCCCCATATGCATCTTCATTTCTCTGAAACAAACCCCCTGAGACTTCAGGCTGCATAGCTGATCATCACAGCCTGACAAAGTGGATCAAAGAATTTGCACTCAGATAATGAGAAGTGTTACCTGAAATCAGTGCTTTGAGAGACTGTGGGAATAATATACACAGGGGTTGTGTGAGAACTAAGTGCATGCTAATGCACTCAAAAGTATTGTGAAATCTTGCAGCTCTGAGTCTCTTGCTTGAATCTTGGGTCTGCAAGCGATTTAGTGATATATTCTTATTCAGATGCTCAAAGCTGAATATCCTTCCTCAGTCCCTCAGTGGGGAGGCAATGAATTCAGGATTCGCCCAGGGGAAATGTAGCAGAGATGACATACCTCAAGATTTGATAATCCAGTTGGTTGTGGGCATCGGTGTCTTACAGGGTCTACACACACTGCTCTCTAATCTCAGGGATTGCATAGTCCTGTGTATACATTAGTCAGCTCTTATTTTTCAAAGGAAAAAGTTTGGTCAGTAAAGTTAAGGCTGTATTTTGCTGTGGAGAATGTTGTGGATGATGCATTTTTTTCTTCTTTGGTTTAAGATTGAAGAGCTGAAAAATGAAAACGCATTGCTCCGAGCGCAACTCCAGCAGCACGGCATCGAAATGGTTGGAGAAACGCCACCACAGTGAATGAAACCAAAAGAGCAGCGCAGGGCACACCCACTCAGACATATAACTGACACAGTGGGAAACAACGCAAGAAAAAAAACCAACAACAAAAAAACGAGAGACTTTATGGAGAATCACTTTCTTTTTAGTGAATGCATCCTCCCCTGGGTTCCCAGGTTGTGAACCCTTCACAAGCCGATTTTGGCTGCACTTGACTTTTCCAATCGTATTGAGATAACCACCCGCTGCAGCTGAGTAGAAATGTGCTCCAAGAAAAGATGCCCACTCACCTTTATCAGGGTGCTTTACTGTAGGACTAGCTATGAAAGAGACCCTCTGCTGCCCTTCTTTATTTGTATTTATGTAGCTTCATTCATGGACTACGATGTTTGTCAGTTATTTCTTTCCTTCCCAAACCCTTTCCCTCGTTATTAATTTTGACTTACTTCATGCTTTTATTCTGTTTGTGTTTTTGAGTTCTGTATTAATATTTTGTTTTTAGCCCCTTTAATTTATTAGTCTGCTTGCTGACAGAAGCCTTGATGGAGACCCGTTACGATGAAATTTATGCATCCAGTGAAGCCGACATCAAAGTATGAAAAACATGATTCTACAGACAGAAATAATGTGACACACATAGCTTACCTAGACACAAAGACAAACAAGAATCTGTGCTTGCTGATGATTCTGGGCTGATTTATGTAAATATGGCTTCTCATGTTTTAATACAGATGTTACAGAATGTTAAAGCAGATTATCTCTGGGAGTAAACAATCAATAACTCATTAGTTCCATGCTGGCAATTGTCAAAACAATTACAACAAAGTGTGTGCAATCTATGAAGTTCAGTTTGCTGAGGCTAAAATGTGGTTTACTTGAAGTGTTGGGCATTTGCTGGTGAAGTGGTATTTAAATACAAAGTGAAATGTTAGAATGTGGAACATGCAGACACGTCAAACTTCATGTTGTGGAGAGGTGAGCGGGGCAAATCCCAACTTTTGCCACATATTTAGGTACTGTGGGTTTTGTTTTCATCCTTTGTCGGGTGACTTACCTGTGTCCCAGTACATGCAAGAATAATCCCCATGTTTCATTTCAAGCTGTTTGCTCTATTTTGGTATTGCAACACTTCAAATGGAGCTCAACGCACAAGGGGGTGGGGGGCACCCTGGAGAGCAGTGCTCAAAGACTTTGCTCACTATAGAAAATGAGTACACGGAAATTCTGTGTTGCAGTTCTTAGTTGAGCATGACTCATTCTCTACGAAAAGACTAAATAGTTTGCATGCGGGAAACTTGGAAATGATCTTACATATTTCTCCACCCACGCAGGCAAACAATAAGTAAACTGTAATTGGTTGTACAAACAGCAAAAGGCAACATTAATGTTGCTGAAGGTTTTGTGAATGAATATAAATGATGTGTTTTTTTTTTTTTTTGTTGGTTTGTTTTTTTTCCCATTTGGGAAAATGTGAGTGGAAGAAAGATGTCAAACTTCACTTAATAGAGCACGATTGCTTCTCCTTGTATCAACAGCTCAGGATCCAGCAAAGAAAAACCAACACTCAGACCCCTGGCAACATCGGCTATCACATTTTAATATCTCAGACTTGCTTGTGCTTTTAAAAGTGCTGTTCTGCTGCAACAACTGGATTCAAACCTGGGCGATATAGTGCAAGTGTCTGGTCTATCAAATGAGGCTCCTAGCCAAAGTCGAATGATAGATGTTTTGCAGTAGATTTTTTTTTTTTTCTTTACACCTCAGTGAGGAGAGACGTGAATGTGAAGAAATGAGTACTGCTTAAAAGATGGTTGATCAGAAATCAAAGGTCATTCGTGGCTAACTTTTTTTTTTTTTCTTGCATTTCTTTTTTTGAAATGGCAAAAGGAAGAAAAAATCCTCTTTTCCTCTGTGTAGCAGCCTCACTGTTCTCAGGTTAGAGACATGTTTTCTAAGCAAAATGGTGGAAAATAAAACTTTCACTATCTAAACATCTTTGTCTGTGGATCATCGTTTACCAGATCTTGGGAAAAGCTGAATATATATTTTTATTTCCATCTGCCCAGTAGCATTGCATATTATTATATACATTATTATAAGATTCATTGTAATTTAAGGCATTGATTTCCCTTTATCTTTTATTCTTAAATACATTTGCTCTAATTAAACCTAATCATCCCATTGATGTGTTAAAATTCAATGAAAACTAACCTGATTATGACTGTAAAATAAGTTCAATCCTTTTTTTAAAAAAATTAATTATCTAGAATTACTTGTCCCTAACATAGACATAGTAGGCTATCATTTTTGGCTATCAAATCAATAAGTCAACACAGTTTACATAAAAGAGTGGGTGTGACCTGTAGGAAACACAGATGGGTCTACATGCAGCCGAGTGGGATATTTAATATTTTAATGAAGTAAAATAAAAACAGCTTCAAACTAAAATCAGCACGACTGCTACGGGAAAAGCAGCTGTATACGTTTTAAAATGTGGTACACTATGTTTGGACAAAAAAAATTGCTGTGGTTTGTTTAGCTTTGACAGCACTATATTAATAAAGTCTATGTTGAGCCAGGAAGAAAAGCCAGCAAAAATACTGACTGTGCAAATGAAGCGGCCTATCACTATCACAGGAGGACCACAACCATGTATTTAGTTAAATTAGTGTGCAACTTGAATAAAAGGTATTTGTGTGAGGTTTAAGACAATTTTAGCTGGTTTGTTTTAGATGCAACCCTGATGGTGTTAAACAGCTGGAGAGCTGCTGATTCATAGTACACACCCCAAGCCTGTTTGGTGTGCTTTCTTCCAAATGATTAATATACAATGTGCATGTCTCACCATGCATGCAGCCTGTTGCTCCTATTATTTTTTTCTTTAATCTCTACTCTTTGAACTTTTTAAATTTTGCACTTTCTCAACAGTTTCCCCCTGAGATTAAAGTATTCTGATCTGATCTGATAACAACAAATATCCCACTGGTTTCATGAAGATTTAAGTAATGTTAAGTCCCCATTTATAGAGAGATGGATAGATATTAAGTCTTTTAAATAAATCTTAATACTTAGACAAGTAGAATTTTTTATTTATTTATTTTTAATGTGCGATCTCAAACTGCTGCAATACCTTTTAAAAAAAGAAGCTTTCAACATAGCATAAAATAGTGTCATTGATTTGCATTAAAATTCTCCAAAAGGCACAAACAATAAAAACATGCTCCAGACATCCAGTTCCATCACTTGAAAAGCTGAGGCGACACCTAGCAGATAGCTGCTGGTTACAGCTGCCTCCTTTAGCCTGACCATGGCTCTTAACTTTAAACCTTAACTCGTCCATTTTAGGTTTATTAATTCCATGAACGGTTCGCAGCCGAGTGTGAAGCGGTGGGAATGAGAATCAGCACCTCCAAATCTGAGGCCATGGTTCTCAGCCGGAAAAGAATGGAGTGCCTTCCTGCCTTCCTGCCCCAAGTGGAGGAGTTCAAGTATCTCGGGGTAGTGACCGAAAGAACGAGATCGCAAATACAAGCGGCGGAAATGGGCTTCCTCCGAAGGGTGGCTGGCCTCTCCCTTAGAGATAGGGTGAAAAGTTCGGCCCTTCAGGAGGGGCTCAGAGTAGAGCTGCTGCTCCTCCACATCGAAAGGAGCCAGTTGAGGTGGTTCGGGCATCTGACAAGGATGCCTCCTGGGCGAGGTTTTCCGAGCATGTCCCACTAGGAGGAGGCCCCGAGGCAGACCCAGGACACGCTGGAGAGATTATATCTCTCGGCTGGCCTGGGAACACCTTGTTGTTCCCCTGGACAAGCTGGAGGAGGTGGCTGGGGAGAGGGGGGTCTGGGCTTCTCTGCTTGGGCTGCTGCCCCCGCGACCCGGCCCCGAATTAGCGGAAGAAAATAAATGGATGGATGGATAACTCCATAAAACCTTTTTTTTTTTTTTTTTTGACCGGGCTGTAAAAAGACTATGCTATGAAGTTGGTCGCTTTAACATGGGAGTCTTTAAAGGTTTCATTGCTTTTGGTGCAGTATGGCGGAGCGGCTGTTCGCAATGTGGTTCTAAAGGTTGCTGATGGCTCTAATCTGAGTAATTTTTAAAAGTCGATGTGGTTTTTACTATATGTGGCCCAACAGTGGAACACTACGTTTCATTTGCCACCAGTTAAGAGTCTTGGATTTGACTACCTTTAAAATTTGCTTTTTTCACAGCAGTCTTTGGACATAATTGCAGGAAGAAGCATGGGTGTCCATGATAACCACTGCCTTTCACTTAGATGTGCATGTGGCAGGGATCTGGTCCAGGTCCTGGGCATGTTAGTTAGTAATTTGGGACAATACGTCTTTATTGTTGTGAACAGTTGGCAGGTTGAACTAACACAAAAATGTCTATATTCTCAACAAAACGTGCAGGATATAGGGTTATATTGTCTTGTCAGTGTGGAACAGAGATACAGTTTTAAATATATTTTCGAATTTTCTCTTGCAAGGATAGAGTTACTATGGGTTACGTGTCCCATGTGTACTCAAATCCACACAATCAACACACTGCTAAGTATTTAGAAGATATAGAGGGCACCTTGGGGGAGAAAGATCAATGATGGATGAAAGCTATATCCAAGCCCTTAGTGAGATTGCGTTGGGCAGAGCTACATTCTGCTGCTCTTAAAAGAGAAGCTGCTATTTTATATAGATAGATAGAGATATATGTAGACTGCTGTTTGCACAGACACAGTAACACATGCACTGAGTATTCACTTGACTGAGAGTATGTGCTAAATTTGATTTGGTTTTGTTTTCAGGCTTGTCAGCTGCCATTTAAACATGCATAGACAACCAGGCAGGCAGGCAGGCAGGCGTCTGTGTGTCCCCGTTTCTGTTTGAAGTGGATGATCTCTGATCCCACGTACCTCTCTGATTGGGACATGCGTAGTCTCTCTCCGTCTGTCTGTTTTCCTTCTTCACCCCGAAAGCGTTCTGAATCGAGTCAGGCAAAGCTGAAATAATACTGATTTGGAAAGGAAAATTAAATGACATAAAGACATGTTTCTTTAATAAATGTTATAGGAAGCATGTACCAGGGAGTTCAACCTTCACCTCTAAGACCAGATAAATCACTTAGAATTAATTGATGTATTAATTGGAAGAGGAAAGTCTCTCCGCTTTGAGCAATGGATTGTTATTGCCGAAATTGTATGTAATGGATTTGAATCAGTGGTTTAGGTCTGGTCAGTACTCAGTGAATGTCTGCTGCACATTTGCCTGGAGGAAGGGAGTGAAAAAACCACTTCTATAAAATCCTTTATGTGATTTGGATAAGTCCTTTTTTAATTTTTTCGGTGTGTGTGTGTGTACACATCTACCAAAGGACACGGTTGAGTGATTTTCATTGAACTCATGCTGGCCAAAACATTATCCTGGAAAGCCACAGTTTCATGGCCTGCAGGCTTGTCTTACCTTTGTGCTTTTTTAGCTACAGGAGCACACTGTCAGGAGCATGTATTGTCCACTGCCAGAGCTTGTTACACATTCCCCCTCTCTCTGAGGTTATTTGTTGAAAAAGCCTGACAGAAAGAGTCTTATTCCACCTGACATACAATGTGCCTCACACCACACTTACCATCTTTCTTGGTTGTACATTAATAATGACATAGCACCTGTCACACTCATAAGAGAAGTATCAGCACAAAGGTTTGTATTCTGCTGCTGTCATAAATGGAGCATAGTTTTTTTTTTGTTTGTTTGTTCGTTTCGCCTTTTTGTGCATCCAGAGTGTCATATTCGACAGTATTTCCAGCACTGATCAAACTGACGCATCAAACTGGTGCACGTGTTGAAAGACGCGTGTCTCTGTCTTAAAGCTGTGGGTCATGTAGTTTGGATTGCACCAAACGTATTGTTTGAAGTACCATCACTGGGGATAAACACTGAATATCTCCCTGTCTGGCATCGCCATTTTATCATGGATCTGGTGTTTCTGAGAAACCAAAAATCTCAGTTATGGAAAAATAAATGTATATGTAGAGCTCACTGAGTGGATTATACCCTGTGCAAAAGCCAGTTTAACCAAACAAAGATTTAACATCTTTTTAAGCTATAAAATATCATGTATAGATGCTACATTTAAACGAAACACGGTTGACTGGAAAATTATGAGTAAAGCCTTTCACTTTGGCAGACAACCCCAGGTGTGCTTTTACACTGACATGGCAAAAGATGCTTTCCATTATGAGGGAAATGGGGGAAAGGAGTCATCTTCCCACTCTGAAATATCACCATGGTGTAGTTGCTCATGAGATACTAGATGCTGAAAAGCTAATTCATACTTTTTTTTCAAGCAGACTGCAATTATTGTGTTCTTTAGACTTCTATCCAAGACTAAAAGAAATCTCACCTCGGTGTTAAGCTGGTTTCCCCCCATGTGTTGTATCTGAAGGTACCTCTGAGAGACAAAATCTGTTTGACAAATTAAAACATTTCATAGCTTAAAGTACTTTTTTTTTCTTTGTAATGTTTAGCTTTTTTAGCCCTCTTTTTTGGGGCACATTATGATTTTATAATAGATTTTGAAAATAGATGAAAGGAGACCAGGCAGTAGAGCTGCACAATGACATGCAGCAAGGGTGTACTGAGTGTACAGTTTATAATTTAAATTTTTTCATTCATTGTTTAGTTGAAGTTGCTATGGTAGTATGAATAAGTGCTCTCTTGCCCGTTATTTTTATCTATTAGGACTGGTCGTACTTACTGAAATTTTGGAAGTTCCAGTAGCATATTGTAACCTGCCTCTCACTCCACGCTGACAGGGAAAGTCCCTGCATTGACCAGCAACCCATTAACCTGTACTCCATACTCCTCCCCCCTGAGTGATGTCCCAACACTGGTTCACTCGTGACCCAGTTTTGAGAGAAGACGTATTTAGGGAAATTGTTGACTGCATCGAGGGGCACTGTTTTTGTGTGATGGCTTTGGCAGCTGGCAGATATAATGTATGG